TTTTGTTTTCTGAGGAAAAAAATAGGATTAGACGGTTCTCTGATACTTTTGAGAGGATTTGAGGGTGGAGATGGAAAGAGAAAGTGAAAGGTGAAGCGTTTTTTAAAATGTGCCCACTTTGAAAACTAAGTCTTGGCACAAGCTTCGTGATACGGTAGTATACGTTTTTTTTATAAAATTTCATGTGCTTTCCTGCTAAAAATCTTTACTCTTTGAAATCTTTGAAAGAAAAAACAAAATGTTAACAAATGAAGTCATATTACTCAACACAAAATACAATGGAACACCCTTAATGAAATGATGGAAGCCATATCGAAAAAGCATTCTCATCAATGGATAATACAAGAGATCGATCACAGTGAGCTTCGAGAGGAGTTTGAGAACAAGATACATGAGGAGAAGATGGAAATGATGAAGAGGATGGGGAAAGGTTAATGGAGAGTTCAGTCTTGACACGGATCGATAGTTCGTCTAATAAAAGATCCATGATTTTCGTTCGAATCGGGACACGAAGGGCCTGAAGGCATTTAAATATTGGGTAATCACTTTTTTGCTAAATTACTATTAACTTCTGCTCGAAATTACCTGCCGCAATTTTTATTTGAATGGTACCAAGATTCATTTTTCAATCGGAAATCACACTTCTATTGTAGACTCTCTCTAAAAAAAGCGCTAGACCTGGGATGGTTGGCCTAAGGAGCGTGACTTTTATGTGAAAATCCATTCTTTTCTCGACTTTACTTGCTCGGAACACCTTTTGGTCGGAGAATTTGTCGAGTTTTAGAAAAGAGCTTTTTCCCCGTTGGGGTCGAGTCTTTATTTGCTCAACTGGACACTGATTGACAAGATATTCTATGTCGGGAATGAGGGGGAAAACGGAACAGAGTGAATAGAAAACAGGTACGGTGATGATTTGTGGAAATATTTCTGTTTTTGTTCGCATGTGAAGGGGCGGTTGTTCAACAACAGTCTATCAAGCACTTTGAATGTGAAGTGCTTTGCCTTGAGACTATTTTTAGTTATCATTTTGTGCCTATTGCATTTTTGGATTCCCTAGGTCACGAGTTGAAGCCATAGTGCCCAGCTGGGAGGGACAATCTTTGTTGACAATTTGGTGTCGCATTGTCGATACCGGTGTGATTGATCTTGGTTATTGATCTGGAAGAATGAGCTTCGCTAGTTAACAATTTGAAAAGAAATTAATCTTTGCTACTTTGAAAACATGTTTTTACTGTTTTTCTTGACTCTTGTGAACCACTTTTCTCTCTTGATATAAAACAAAATGACAGAAAAAAGGGAGACAAATGTACAGAAATTGTTCTATGGTAACTTCTTGCATAGAAAACGAGCCGTGAAACAATCATAGATTTTTCTCATCACAGCTATTCCAGTTTTCTTCCCAATGACAAGTGTAATCACTGGTCGTTTATGATTTGATGCTTTTCTTGCTTATTGCCAATTTTCAATGTTGAATCCAGAAAAAAGTCTTTCTTAACTGTGGTTTCTTTTCAAAAAAAAAGGCTAAATTTTAGTTATACTCCATAATTTCTTATTTTATTTGAAAATTTAGATAGATTAGCTGAATCTTCTAAACAAAAATTTTAAAATTTACTATTTTTGTTGAAAAATGGAAGGCAGGGAAAAGCATGACTATTCGGCCGATGGTAGGGAAATTGTAGGAAACTTGGAGAGGTTTGAGCTGCCCTTCCATCCATTGTCCATCGCCTCTTCCCACCCACGGATCCACATAATCGACCGTCGTTTCATCGGCCCACGTTTCGTTATCTTTAGCTCCGGACACGTGATAGCCAATCCACGCAAATTGATAATCGCAGAAAATAGTTCTCCGCCTGTGAGTGGATTGAGACGAAGTGGGCACCGTTTTTCTGTCAATTCTTTTCGGCCATTTCCCAATCGAATAGTTCCCATATATCGTTGTCGTTAAAGGTGAAATTCTGAACAAAACAGTGAACATTTTAATTTGTAAACGGGTATTATTTCGAAATACCAACGTGTAAGTAAAATTGTAGCATGATCCGGTATGGTGGAAGGAAATCCTATCCAACTGGGCACGAATTCGCTAAAAATGTTTCTTCTTTTTGGCTAAATTAATGTGAATAATCATCGTTAACTGTTTGATGATTATAGAAAAAGAAACAGCGCGAAAAAAGCCACCATAAAACGACTGTAAAAATAATCCTTTGTTATAAGTTTAAGCCGCGGTCAAGTCGCTTTTTGAAACGTCTAGATTCTCTGCTCAGAAACGATCACGATCGATCACAAATCTTTTTCTATCGTTAAACGGAGAAGATATTGGAGTTTATAGAAATACGAATCATCTTTACTTACAGTCACTGTATGATGGTTTTTTGTGATCCGCAGTTTCTTTTGCAAGTATCTACCAGAAGCCACCGAAGAAGATCACGAATATTCTTAAAAAAAAGATGTTTAAGTTTAAAAAAAGTCAAATGCTACTTTTTCTTATGATATTTGTTATTTTGTTGCTTTTTGAAAAAAAAATTTTACCGTTTTCTCAAAAGAATTTCTGTGTTTTGAGATCAAAAACTTTTTGCTATGTTAAATTATTCATTTTATGAAGGCAATTAGTAAACAGTACTGTTACTACAATCGAAACTTGTCATGACAGGCAGCATAACGAATCGTGTCGTCACTGCCCGAGAATGACCCATTTGATGCCTAGAAAAGATGGATTTCTCAGAAAATTGAGGTTTAAATGTTTAAAAACCACCAAGCCCCGGTAAACTGCCGAGTTGAGAGAAACTTTTACAGCTAAGAGAAGCGGGGAAAGGGAGCGGAAAATCGACTCGGACTCTAATTGTATCGAAAAAAAAAGTCTTTCAGTGTCAAGCAAAGATCAGTTTTATTTTTCCTGGCCGAAAAGAGAACACTTTTTTTACAGATCTAATGATGGATATATCATCATTTTTATATAGGGAAAGCAAATACTACAAAACTCGAAACTACACAACAAAATCCACATACTCACATTTGCTACACCAAAAAAAATTGAGTTCATTAAAAGGCAATTAGTAAAAGTTGGACAGTCGGACACTCGTGCAATTCGAATCGTTGGACAATTCAGCCGGTTCAACCCTTTCTCGTAAAGTCGGACAGTTGCACTCGAACAGTTCGGACAGTTCGGTAAAAATCAACGAACACGAATCATGTTTCCGGTAAAAATAACTTTTTACGAGAAAGGGTTGAACCGGCTGCATTGTCCAACGGTTCGAATGTGTCCGACTGTCCGACTTTTGTGTCCGACTGTCCGACTTTTGTGTCCGACTGTCCGACTTTTGTGTCCGACTGTCCGACTTTTGTGTCCGACTGTCCGACTTTTGTGTCCGACTGTCCGACTTTTACTAATTGCCTTTTAATGAACTGAATTTTTTTTTGGTGTAGCAAATGTGAGTGTGTGGATTTTGTTGTGTAGTTTCGAGTTTTGTAGTATTTGCTTTCCCTATAAAAAAATGATGAGATATTCATCATTAGATCTGTAAAAAAAGCGTTCTCTTTTCGGCCAGGAAAAAAACTTTGTTTTATTTGCTTGACACTGAAAGACTTTTTTCCAATACAATCAGAGACCGAGTCGATTTTCCGCTATCTTTCCCCGCTTCTCTTAGCTGTAAAAGTCTCTCTCAACTCGGCAGTTGACCTGTGCTCTTTTTGAGCAAAAATATTGATATTTTTTGGTGGTTTTTAAACATTTAAACCTCAGTTTTCTCAAGTTTCGATTGTAGTAACAGTATTGTTAAATTTATGTTGTATCAGATTAGCCGGAAAGTCTTGTCCGCTTTTTTTAAAAGGTTACTTTTTAAAATAAATAATAAATCAATCGATCTATTGATTTGTTTTATCAGAAAATACTATTATTTATTTTAAAATTGCTCTTTAAGAAATTTTGAAAAGCTCGCGTTAGTTAATATTTTTAAAAGGTATAAAGTTGTCAGCTCCGAGCCAAACTGATATTTTAGTTACTATTGTTATTATTGAATGATTTGTCTATTCTTATGCAAATGTGTCCTCCCCTGTGCTTATCCCTTTTATTGCCGAGAAGGGGCGGTCCTTGGGATTGCCTAGGAGGACAGTGAGGAGCCTAGGAGGACAGTGAGGAGCCTAGGAGGACAGTGAGGAGCCTAGGAGGACAGTGAGGAGCCTAGGAGGACAGTGAGGAGCCTAGGAGGACAGTGAGGAGCCTAGGAGGACAGTGAGGAGCCTAGGAGGACAAGTGAGACTCTCATTTGGAGTCCCCCCTTCCCCTTACACTTATTTGTAATCTATTCGTCTTATTATACTACTGTAAATAAAGATACATATCTTCCGGGTCTATGCAACTGCAGTACAGGTCGGTCATTTCACAGGGACTCCCCTCTAATACGTTGGAGGAGTTGGGTTGGGTTGTCGGGGTGTTAGAGATGGCGGGATATCAAAAGGGATCCACTCTCTTTAACTTAACCCAAATTCTAGTCCACATCCGTTTATACCTAGGAACGAATAAAGTCGAGCAGTCAAAAACCGATTTTCGATTTGATTCCAATTTGAGCACTTTTTATCACAGAAATCTATTTTTTTTGGTTAAAATACAAAAGATAAAGAAAAAAGTTAGGCAAATAAACAAATTTTCAATAATTCACCAAGTCTATTTCATTCTATGTCCATTGTAAAGGTTTTCGAAAAAAAAAAACGAATTCCCGTTCGGATTTTCTTCAAAAGCGAACGCAAATTTGCTTAAAAATGAGCTAAATGATAGAGTTAATGTTTTTTTTTATTTAAAGCACAAATCACACTTTGTTACGTCATCGGCTAATTCTTCATTTATAAATGAAAATTTTTAAAAAGCGTACAAGACAAGAGAAACCAATATTTTCTAATTCTAACATCGATTCTCTTCTCTTATTGTCTTTGCTAAAGAAAAATACAAAGCATTCTTTATGTTTGTTTCACATTTTTCAAATACTCACCATAATTTTAGTCTGTTCAGAATGAGTTCCCTTGAGACCACTCTTCGTCCATTCATCGACTCTTTTGAGAAAGCTGACAATGCGTGAGTACGATCTGTACGATTCACGTACAAAAGAAGACACGTGAACTTTTAAAAATCAAAAGGATTCACTTTTATTAAATAATTTGACTTTCGTTTTTTAAAAAAGTTTTTTTTATTTGCTTTTCAGCTCTGTTTACTATCAGACGAACGGTTTGTTGATTGATGAGCAGAAAAAGACGGTCACCGTTGGAAGGGATGGTAATCGCAACATTCTATGGCAATAATTTCTTTCTATCCAGCGTATAGAAAGAATACTCGGTACTTATTGATTATACGGCCCGTTTTTTTTATGCAAATTTAAATTGATGCATCATATTGATTACAAGACCCGTTTTTCTATGGTTAGTACATCAAATGTGGGCAAAATTTGTCGACGTGATTATGTGGGGATTCGGTTTTCCTAGGTTAAAAATTGGTCACCCTAATAGTAGAAAAGTAAGAATTATTGTATGATTTCATGTTTTTTTGAAGGATAAAAACGGGCAGTGTAATCAACATGATGCAATCATATGCTAATTTAGAAAAACGGACCGTGTAATCAATAAGTACCGAATACTCTATCAAAAAAAACAAAAAAAAAATTTCTATGTCGTGAATAATTTATTTACGACTTTCAGAGATCAACGCCGTTTTTGCCGGCTGGGCAACACTGGGTAAATTCACAATAAAGGTATCCCACATATGGCATTGCTCATTTTAAGCCTTTTCTAGGCAGCAAATGAGTCATTCTCCGGCAGTGAGGACACGATTCGCTATGCTGCCCGTCATGACATCGAGTTCGAGTCGGCTGGGAAAAAGTTGACATTTAATGTTGTTCAGGTCAGTCCACAATCCTAAAATATCTCAAGATTTCCATATCGAAATTCCGATAAGAAACAAGAGTCGAGAAATGAATGAGGAAATTTGGTGGTGAATCTAGCAACCTTTCACTAGAAGTATGGTAGATTAGATTTATACATTTTTTGATTAAGTGATTATTATTCTTGACGTATCAATCAAAAATTCTTTTCTAGTATTGGCGTCGTGACGGGGATCACTACTTGATTGAGGTCGAGCGATTCAATGAAATCTAAGACAGAGCTTCTGCATTTTTCTACTAAATAAAGTTTTTTTCGAGTCTGTACAGCCTCCAAAAAAGATTTCTGAACAATACTTCCCAGAAAATTAAATAATATAACTTAAGTTATAGCTCAAAAGATGGGAAAGCGTGGAAGCAAAAAAAACGGAATTGGGATATTTCCAGTCTTCCAAAAACATTGTGTACTTTATTTGCAAGAGAAATCGGCGCCCTTCAACCCAAAAATTCTCATACAGTTTGAGCTCGGAAAAACTTTTATTCTCTCTTTGCATTACTTTTCCTTAACCAAGGTGTTGAGAGCTTAAAGAAATTCGAAATCCAAAAGCGCTTAACTGGTTCAGTCTCACGACAAAGTCTCGCTTTCTTCTCAAAAATGCGTCACTTTTATTTGTTCGAAGAGAATTTTTCCCGCCGTTCCCATTATCAATTTCGTATTAGTTTCGAAAAACCGAAAGGTGCCACATTTCTACAACGATGCTCTCGCCACGACTTCCATAAAATTCTTGAGAGCGTGGAATTTCAGGGGTCACTTTGAACAGATAGTGCAATCAATCGTTGAAAAGGGGATCCCAAGCAAGAATTTGAAAGCGGCTTTTTATATGGATATCTACTATTCTCAGGATACCCGAATCCTCGATTTTATTTCGTAATCCTCTGGAATGAAGCGATTTGAAGAAGAAAATCAGCAAGAAGTCATTAAAATGGCGAACGAACGCTTGAAAAAGCATTTCGGATACTCGAATGATTTGCCGGAGGGTCCATTTTTTCGACGAAACATCGACTCGAGCAGGGATTGTGTCTACATGCTTCATATCGCAAAGGGGTTATGCCGGCGGCAGACTAACAGGCTTTTTCGCCTTCTACGTCAACCGCAATCGGAAATGCTGAACTTTTGAGGGTTTTTATCGGTTTTTATACAGTTTTAGTTTTATTTTGTCACTGACTTATTGTCATTTATTTCATCCAATTCATCCCATTTCGATATCCCTATGCAACTCGAGCAGAAGTTGACAAAAATAAATCGGTCGTTTTCATTTTATTTTCATTTTCAATTGCTCCTTTTTTTTTTGTTTAACGCGTTGTTCGGATTTGCATCAAAATTTCAATCATCATTTATCTCAGTCAAAAAATTCCACCTTTATAAATAGTCAATCAAAAGTTAAATTTTAAAAAGTTAAAAAGTTAAGGAATGGGATACACATCCATTGGAGATCGGACGGATTGCTGCGTTTTCTTCACTTCAAAAATAGAAGAATGTTTCAAATTTCAATCAAACTCCTAGCGTCCCGATGATTTTAGTTACCCAAGTCGGAATTTAGCAGTTTTTTAGCGATTTCTCGCTTGAATATTCGGGAGGAAGAAGGCTTTGGCTTATACTGAGACGAAAATGCAATGGATGAATACCGGCAAGATCGGCGAGGCGAGGCCAAAATAATTCAGGGAAAATGAAAGCAACAAATATGGTAGACAAAAGAATTTAAAAATGAGCCAGACAAAGCTGTTTCCATTCATTTTCTAACTTGGCCGCTAAAAGGTTTATCTTTTGACTGAAATAAATGCAAAAATGAAAAGAATCGAATAAACCCGAATAATATGAATAATATGAAAATGAAAAAGATCGATTCATTTTAATAAACTTCTGCCTCGGTTGCACAGGGGATATCGAGCACAGGCCTTCGTTTTTCGATTGATGCATAGCTAAGAGCTAGCAATTTCCGTTGTCTTACATAAGCTAAGAATTCTAATGGAAATTTTGCACATCTAATAAAACCAAGCAAACTTTCAGCCGTCCTCCTTCCCAAGAAGAACCAAGGTGACAAGGAGTGGAGAAAACGCGGCAAACTCTCGGATCCCCAAACGATGTGTATCCCACTCCTTAATTTGGCGACCTTTTTATTTCAGTTTTTATTGGCTATTTATCAAGCTTTATTTTTTTGACCGAAATAAATGATGATTGAAATTTTGATGAAAATCCGAATTACACGTTACACAAAAAAAGAAGGAACAATTGATAAAAGAAAATTAAATAAATACAATAACTGAATCACAATAAAAGCACTAAAATTGAAAAAACCTAACAAAAACACCCAAAATTCCAATCATTCAAAAACACTCAAAATTTCCGATTGTGGTCCACGTAGAAGGCGAAAAAGGTACACCATTCGCCTCTATACGACAAAAACATGTAGACACAATCCCTGCTCGAGTCAATGTTTCGTCGAAAAAATAGATACTCCGTGAAGTCAGGCGAGTATCCGGCATGCTTTTTGCAGAGTCCATTCGCCATTTCGAAGATTTCTTGATGATTTTCTCCGTAGAATCGTTTCATTCCAGGGAATTGCGAAAGAAAGTCGAGGGTTCGGGTATTCATCTTCTGAAGAAACAAGAACTTCACAGAAAAAATCGCCTTCAAATTCTTGCTTAGAATCGGTTTTTCAACGATTGATTGGACGACCTCTTCTAAGTTACCCCAGAATTCAGGCACTTCCAAGAGTTTGATCGAAGTCTTGGCAAAAACATCGTGGTAGAAGGAAAACTCATTTCGATAAGCAGAGGTAGAGATATCAAGCTTGACTTTTTCGCATTCATTCATCTGATTTGTAATGAATTTCTCCAAACTTTCCCTGACCACTTGGTTTTCGTTTAACAAATCAATGTCCACGTTAATCCACGCGGATTCCTCAATCCTCGAGCGGTAATTCTCAAGAAATTGCAGCAATAACTCGTTTTGACTTATATTTCTGCTTATAGAGAGAAGCAAATCTTTCACAGAGGTCAATTGATTCAGAATCGTCGTGTGATCGTTGCTGAATTCAGAATTCCAACCTAATAATATCCACAAGCTGTCACATGAGTGGATTCGTTTGATCAAAGGAAGGTGGAAATCAGTATGAAATTTGAGGAGGGATGATTCAGGGAATTTCGCGATTAGAATAGCTCCCTCAAAAAACTGGAACATTTTCACGTGACGCCCAAAAACTATCCAGGGTGTCCGCAGCAGGATCGATCGAAATCCTGCATTCACCTTCGCCAATTCAATCGCATCATTCGGCTCCATTTGCTCCAAAACTTCCAGCTTTAGGTCGTAGCATAGCTTCTCTATTGGGAATGACGACAATTAGAATTCGCAAAAAAAAGTAGACAACCAGAATTCAAAGCCATTAAAAGACAAAATTTTAATCAATCTCTAGATAACTCCGATTATGATAAGAATGACCATAAAAAATTTCAACCCGGAGCCATCAAAACACTTAAAATCATTTTAAGGAGTCTATGAGTACGAACTCTTTAATTCTAGAGCGAAGAACACAGAAGATGTGAAAAATCGTTTTCTAAAGACAACAACGCGGTACAACGCGAGTTCAGTCACGACACACCGGCCACTCCACTCAACTCCACTTTCGCCCAGCACTCTTCGCCCATATCAGTCGGAACGCCGAAACGCAGCAGTTCGTGAGTTTGTTTTTGGTTTTTATCCAAATGCTTTTGTTTTTGCAAAACTTTCTAAAGTCCACTGTAGCAAATTACAAACTGCAACCTTACCCTTGGAATCAACACACAATATATGCCTAAGCCTTAAATTCGTTTTGTTTAGCATCAGGCAGTTCCATTATTTTGTCACTTTAGGCCTATCATGAATACCGACGGATTTGTGTTTTTACACGGCACCGATACACTCGCCTACATGTTTTTTTTTTTTTAAACAAATTACATAAATAAAACAACAAAACCCTTACAAGTGACTTGAGAAGACTTTGCAAAAGCAAAAGCATCTAGATCAAAACCCAAAAACAAACTCACCATATATCTACGATTCGGCTGATATGGACGAGGAGTGGTGGGCGATGGTGGAGTGGAGTGGCCGGTGTATCGTGGCGTTGTACGAAATTCGGGGGTGTCGATCTCTGCACCAGCTCTGGAAGAAAAGCCATCTTGTATATAGGTTGATAAGCGGCCTTCTTTTTAAATAGCAACACAAAAAAAGTTAAAATAAACTAGGCACCCACTAGGGAAGACCTTGTAAAATGAATAACGGTTCTACAAATTTCGCGCATTTACCCTTAAATTAAAAAATCTTAGCTGAATATCTTTTTTTGCAGAAGATTTGCCATAGGTATAAAGTCAAAAAGGAAAGGGTTGCCAATGGGTATAAAACGAAAGAAAAGATTTGCTATTGGGTAAAAACCGAACATACCGCGATCGTGCGCACTGAGGTTCTTCGATTCAAGAGAAATGGCTGTCCAATTCCCCAACCCTGACTATGCGCTGGAGAATTTCGTGCACCAGTAAGGGTGCGTCTACAAGGAAGCCCAAAGTACACAGATGAAGAGTACTGTAGGAGCTTAAGCTTCAGAACCAACTACAGAATATAATTATTATTATTATAGCTACCGTAAACTACCCTTCATTTACAATACTACTGTGCTCGAGTACTGTAAATGAAGGCTAGAGTATTGTAGCAATTCAGTTTAATCTTCATAAATAAATATTCCTATAGCTACCGTATACTACTAAAGCCTGGATTACTGTAGAAATGCTATTAAGCGGGCCAAAAGGATTCAAGTTGTCTTTCCGAAATTGGCGACGGATGACGAATAATACATGTACACTTTATTTACAAAAACAAATTGAAGTTCAGCGTAAAGCAAAAAAGTAAATGACAAAACTACTAAAAAATGCCCTAAAAACTGGGTGCAAAAGGTCCGCTCGTCCTCGTCCAGTCAACCATGAATGCTCGCCAGTATATGGAAATACTAGAAGGATGTCTACTTCCATTTGCTCAGGATCACATGGCTCCTGAATGGTTTCTCTACCAGGACAATTCGCCGGTCCACAAGAGCAAGCTCATGATGGGTCGCACGGTGAATCTCTCAAATGGAGGAAAAGCTCATCTCCCTGGATGGTTTGCCCTTAATAATGTTTTGTTGGTCAAGGTGCCCCCTATGTCGTCTGATTTAAACGTTATTGAGAATTTATGGGCTTACGTGAAGGCAAAGTTACGAGGAAAAGACTTTCACACAAAAGCTGACTTATGGTTCTACATACGAAAAGTTTGGAGCTCAATTCGCCCAGCAATTCTTCACGAATTAGTCGACTCAATGCCTAAACGATTAAATGAAGTGATTTTGGCAAAAGGTGGACCGGTTGAATATTAATTTTTGATGTTTCTGTATAATGTTGCAAGACTTTTGCACCCAGTTTTTAGGGCATTTTTTAGTAGTTTTGTCATTTACTTTTTTGCTTTACGCTGAACTTCAATTTGTTTTTGTAAATAAAGTGTACATGTATTATTCTAATTAAAAACAAAAAAACCCTACGAACGGGTGGCATTTTCTATAAAAAATTTCATCGATTTTTTTGAAAAAGTGATGTTGCAAGACTTTTGCTCGGTACTGTATCTATTCTTTCAGGTATTACGGAAACAAGTATGAAAGTTCTCCTAAAGTAGAGTTTCCGACAAAACAAAAAATATTTAATCTAATTTTCTTCATTTTAGCAAACATCTTTGGTTTTCTAAAGCGTGGATCTGAAAGAAATTTCACAGCTTAAAACGAACGCTGCTTGCTAAGATGCACCAAGTATTGTTAGCACAAATTAGTGTTTTTTAATGAAGCAAGAATTGGGAGCTTTTTATCATGAACTTTGCTAAAAAATTTATGTAAACCCCTCTTTTAATCTTATTTCCATGTTCAGTGCAAAAAATCCATTAAACTTTTATTTTTTAGACAATGAAGCTGGAAATCAAAGAGGAACCGCCTGAGCTGTAAATAAAACCCACGATGACGCGAAAGAGGAACAGAAATTATTTTTTTTTTTTTTTTTTTTTTTTTTTTTTTTTTTATTTTTTTTTTTTTTCTTTTTTTTTTTTTTTTTCCCTTAACCCTTTTTCTTTTAAAGTTTTGAACACTTCAATGAAAGGCTGCTAAAATCTCGACGTTCGATGATATGACACTTTTGCTGCTGAAATCGCTTCATCAAATCGTTCAACGATGTGGTCGAATCCGTTACAATCTGCTGCTGACACAGCTTTTCAACGAGAAAGAGTGCGAGGATTTTCTAGATATTTTATAGACTTTTATTTAGCTTCTTCACAAAATCGAAACTGGATTCAATTTTGCTGAACATCTGCGCGGTTGCTATAAGAAAGCGGTTTCTAAAGTAAGTTGAGGTATTTTAGGAATTGCTCAAGTTTTAATTAGTTTTCAAGGTATACGACCACAGTTATGGATGGCATATTCGAGAGCATTGTATGCACGAGATGATGCTTATAAAATGATATGAGCAATTCGTTTCAGTTTGGCTTGCAATGTTGGGGGTAAGCAAAGCTTTTTGTCAATATAGCCAAATATATAAAACTTTTTTACAGTTAAAAACGCTGGTTGGGAACAAAATAGAGCAGTTTTGATTCGTTTTTAGATGACTGAAGATTTTTGTTCAAATGTTCGACTAGAAGCGTTCATTATTAGAGCTTTTTTGCGAAAAAGTTTTTACGTTTACACGTGTGTAAGTTTGATTCGTGTTATATCAAGATAAAGTGTTTTTAGGAAAGTTCACGATAGGAAACGCAAGAAAATATTGTTGAGCGACGATGCTTTTTCGACAGTCTGTCAAGGAATCAACGATATGGATGTAGGTGCAGAAGCTTGAGATTATTGTTGATCTAACTAAAATGTTAGGCTAATAGACTTGGAACTTGATCTTTTTATGGCAAGGATAATATAAAATATTCTAGAAACACTTGCGTTCCGAGACTGCAAGGGCGATTTCGAAGTGGTGAGCGACGATTATTTGGATGAAACGCTCGACAAGAAATTGTTTTCTCCACAAAGGCTTGAATATTTGGCGGAAGTGGGGAGGAAGGGGCCGGATGGTAATCGGACGGGGCAAGGTCTGGAGAATAAGCAGGAATAAGCTCATCCAAAGTATAAGACCCAGCTGTGCGACAAATTCTCTCAATTCAGATAGTGTCCATACGGTTGAAAGTGCCAATTGGATGGATAAGATCAAGTAGGTTGGATTTTAATATTTGAATATTTAAACATACGAAAAGCTGCCTCTAAATTCTGTGCTTTAGTGTTTTACTCTGAATTATGAAATTCGAAATTTGCATACCAGCAAAAACTTAAATTTCAAATTTGGAAAAATTTGCATTTCAAATCGGAGGAAAAAAGTGTAAAAAATTCTGTTTCATTTTTTTGGATTACTCGAAATGAAGTGGTTACTTCGAGTTCTGCCACGTCTCCGCAAAAAACAGGTTAACTTTTTTATTATTTCTCTATTGTGTCTATTTTTATAGAGTACTAGAAAGCAAAATGATGCACGAATTGTTGATAATCCGTCTCGATCCGGTCAGTTGCTACTTTTGTTTTGCTCTCGTTGGCTACCGTATTTACTTTAATCAAAATCCCCCATCTTTCAATTATAGGAGCATTAGATAGTTTACAGTTTACACTAAAACTAGATCCGTGTCTCCGCAAAAGTACTTTGATTTCTGCGCGCTCGGGTATCAAATTAAAGTAGACAGGATGGTTCATTTTTTTGGAATATCACACTTAGCTTTGGTATTAACCAGGGCTAGGAACAAAATGATTGTCAAGTAGCATTTTCAATTATTTTTTCTAGGTGCTGGTTAATGCTAAGAATACGTTATATTTTTTTAAAAATGACTTATCTTTTCGCTTTTAGTTTGACAGCCAAGTGCTTAGACACAAAAGTACTGGTGCTGAGATATGCTCGTTTGTTTGAGAGTAAACTTAGACCACGCGACCGTTTTATAGGGGACTTTTGTTAGAGTACGGTATGTAGTTCGGAAGAAATTTGTTTTTCTAAGGATTACTTTCCAACACTGAATTCCGTCACAAAAGTGTGTTTTAGTCGATGTAATCGAGGTTCCTCGAGCTCCAGGCGGCTCCAAGGAAAAACGGGAATTGACTCCAGACGGTGAGTTGTTGTTTATTTGTGTTGCTTAAGAACTTCTGAACAACTTATTTCCAAAGTTGGACTCAACTACGTAATCATTTTTATTGGTTGCTATAGATTTCGGCTTGGGTTTTCATAAATAGGTTTTGCGGTTATATCAAATTCTTAGGATTTGAGCAATTCTATATTATAATTTTGAAAACATATGCCTGTGACCATGTTTTCGCCTGTGTTTTTAACTAACAACCCAGGAAGTGGTGTTCATCCGCTGGTCCTGTATAATATTAACTTTAGCCTATAATATTTGGCAGATATGGGCGTTTGTTTGAGCATAAATTTAAAACATTAAAAATCTTTAGAAAAGCTTGAGAAGTGCGATATGCATGCAAGTGAGGTTGCTAAGTTGGACTGGAATTGCATTTTGGTGAGAACATTCATGGTTGCTTGAGTAATTGTGTTTAGATCTACACCGATGCAGGCGACAAAGACGGAAAGAGAGGAATGGCGGGATGGTTTGGAACTGGACATCGACTCAATTTGTATGTTTCTACTTACTTGTGATTGACCTTATGCATTTTAGTGGCGAACCCTTGAAAGCAACGCACCCGAAGATGAAGCACTCCGAGTATCTGGAAATGATTGCAGTTCAGGAAGCGCTTAATCGGCTGTCACAGTGGTCTGATTATTGGTGAGGTTTTCCAAATTTAGCAACACGACGTTAAATATCTGTTCTCTATACGTAAGAAAAATTTAGAATTCTTAACTTTTTAAGATTTTGCATGTGAATGAATAAAGCGGAATTAATTTTTAGTTGCCAACCTGTGATGATATTTACCGATAACGAGCAAGTCGTCAGACTGTTGGATCCTAGCAAGGAACCGACCTGTCAAAATGAGTACGCCGTGAGAAAGTTTATTCATTCTTGTTGCCTTTAGCATTTGATTTCGTTTTAGAGCAAAAGAAATCCGCGCTCTTATACTGGAGACGTTCCATGATCGGGTACAGGTCAGGCATGTGAAAGGCCACATCGGCATACCTGGCAATGAGAAAGTGGGTTTTTTTAAGTAATTGTAATAAAGTTTTATTTTAAATGTTACATTTATTTATTTTTGGATTTTAATTAATTAAAATTTTAAATAATTTTAATATTTATTTTTAGGCATTGGTCCGCGAGGTCCGCCAAATGTAAAGAAATTGAAATCCACAAAGATGTCATTGCAATGTATCGTAATCAATTTGCTCTCGTAATAAATAAATAAACTGATAAAAATTAGTCACAAAGAGAATCATCACAGGTTGGCAACTAAAAATTAATTCCGCTTTATTCATTCACATGCAAAATCTTAAAAAGTTAAGAATTCTAAATTTTTCTTACGTATAGAGAACAGATATTTAACGTCGTGTTGCTAAATTTGGAAAACCTCACCAATAATCAGACCACTGTGACAGCCGATTAAGCGCTTCCTGAACTGCAATCATTTCCAGATACTCGGAGTGCTTCATCTTCGGGTGCGTTGCTTTCAAGGGTTCGCCACTAAAATGCATAAGGTCAATCACAAGTAAGTAGAAACATACAAATTGAGTCGATGTCCAGTTCCAAACCATCCCGCCATTCCTCTCTTTCCGTCTTTGTCGCCTGCATCGGTGTAGATCTAAACACAATTACTCAAGCAACCATGAATGTTCTCACCAAAATGCAATTCCAGTCCAACTTAGCAACCTCACTTGCATGCATATCGCACTTCTCAAGCTTTTCTAAAGATTTTTAATGTTTTAAATTTATGCTCAAACAAACGCCCATATCTGCCAAATATTATAGGCTAAAGTTAATATTATACAGGACCAGCGGATGAACACCACTTCCTGGGTTGTTAGTTAAAAACACAGGCGAAAACATGGTCACAGGCATATGTTTTCAAAATTATAATATAGAATTGCTCAAATCCTAAGAATTTGATATAACCGCAAACCTATTTATGAAAACCCAAGCCGAAATCTATAGCAACCAATAAAAATGATTACGTAGTTGAGTCCAACTTTGGAAATAAGTTGTTCAGAAGTTCTTAATGAGAGCAACACAAATAAACAACAACTCACCGCTTTGAGTCAATTGGGGTTTCTGCTTGGAGCCGCCTGGAGCTCGAGGAACCTCGATTACATCGACTAAAACACACTTTTGTGACGGAATTCAGTGTTGGAAAGTAATCCTTAGAAAAACTAATTTCTAGTCAATAAATTTGTCTTTCTTCTGTCCGCCGAGTCATAGTCCCCAACCCAATAGATGGGGGATTTTGATTAAAGTAAATACGGTAGCCAACGAGAGCAAAACAAAAGTAGCAACTGACCGGATCGAGACTGATTGTTGTCAACAATTGGTGCCTCATTTTGCTTTCTAGTACTCTATAAAAATAGACACAATAGAGAAATAATAAAAAAGTTAACCTGTTTTTTGAGGAGACGTGGCAGTACTCGCAGTATCCACTTCATTTGGAGTAATCCAAAAAAATGAAACAGAATTTTTTTACACTTTTTTCCTCCGATTTGAAATGCAAATTTTTCCAAATTTCAAATTTAAGTTTTTGCTGGTATGCAAATTTCGAATTTCATAATTCAGAGTAAAAAACTAAAGCACAGAATTTGGAGGCAGCTTTTCGTATGTTTAAATATTAAAATATTAAAATCCAACCTACTCGATCTTATGGATGAATTGGCACTTTCAACTGTATGGACACCATCTGAATTGAGAGAATTTGTCGCACAGCTGGGTCTTATACTTTGGATGAGCATATTCCTGCTTATTCTCCAGACTTTGCCACGTCCGATTACCATCTTTTCAGGTCTATGTAGAAATCCCTTGATGGAGAACATTTCCAAAATGAAGCTGAACTCAAAAAGTGGCTCCAAAATCATTTCGACTCAAAACCAAAAATTTTCTACGAGAGAGGAATTCGTCAAATGCCCACAAAACCCCCAACAGATCCTGGTTAAAGCTTGAGATCAGGGTCACTTCCTCCCCGGCCGCTGACTGCTTGAAGGAGATGGGGCTAGATCATTGACGTGAAACCGCCCAATATTCAAACCTTTGTGGAGAAAACAATTTCTTGTCGAGCGTTTCATCCAAATAATCGTCGCTCACCACTTCGAAATCGCCAAGTAACTTTGCAGTCTCGGAACGCAAGTGTTTCTAGAATATTTTATATTATCCTTGCCATAAAAAGATCAAGTTCCAAGTCTATTAGCCTAACATTTTAGTTAGATCAACAATAATCTCAAGCTTCTGCACCTACATCCATATCGTTGATTCCTTGACAGACTGTCGAAAAAGCATCGTCGCTCAACAATATTTTCTTGCGTTTCCTATCGTGAACTTTCCTAAAAACACTTTATCTTGATATAACACGAATCAAACTTACACACGTGTAAACTTTTTCGCAAAAAAGCTCTAATAATGAACGCTTCTAGTCGAACATTTGAACAAAAATCTTCAGTCATCTAAAAACGAATCAAAACTGCTCTATTTTGTTCCCAACCAGCGTTTTTAACTGTAAAAAAGTTTTATATATTTGGCTATATTGACAAAAAGCTTTGCTTACCCCCAACATTGCAAGCCAAACTGAAACGAATTGCTCATATCATTTTATAAGCATCATCTCGTGCATACAATGCTCTCGAATATGCCATCCATAACTGTGGTCGTATACCTTGAAAACTAATTAAAACTTGAGCAATTCCTAAAATACCTCAACTTACTTTAGAAACCGCTTTCTTATAGCAACCGCGCAGATGTTCAGCAAAATTGAATCCAGTTTCGATTTTGTGAAGAAGCTAAATAAAAGTCTATAAAATATCTAGAAAATCCTCGCACTCTTTCTCGTTGAAAAGCTGTGTCAGCAGCAGATTGTAACGGATTCGACCACATCGTTGAACGATTTGATGAAGCGATTTCAGCAGCAAAAGTGTCATATCATCGAACGTCGAGATTTTAGCAGCCTTTCATTGAAGTGTTCAAAACTTTAAAAGGAACTAGAATAAAATTCTTACATTGAGGAGGGTATTCAAGAGTGGATCAATCATCGACGTGTCGAGATTCGTCAAAAAATGCTCCGACAAGAACTCGCGCAGTTATGTCAATAGCCTGAAAAGCAAGTCTAAGTGAAAAAGTATGAAAAAGCATAGCTTGTTTATCTCTAATCGATTAAAATGGATGAGAAACAAATCATGAGGTCATTTCGTCAACGAAAACAAGGCTCAACAACTTACAACGGTCGATTCCCATTTTGCAACGATTTTGTCACTTCTGCAAGCGCCGTCAAAATGTTTCGCTCATCCTCTTCTTTCACTAGCGCGAATCCTCGTCGTTTCGTCTCCTAAACAAAGAACTTACGAATGTTACAGGACTTTAAAGGCTTACAAGTTTTACACATATTTTCACGCTATACTCTATGATAAAAGATGTTTTATCATAAAAACAGATAAAAATCTACCTGTTTAATAGCCGGAAGCTTCCTCTTTCGCGTCATCGTGGGTTTTATTTACAGCTCAGGCGGTTCCTCTTTGATTTCCAGCTTCATTGTCTAAAAAATAAAAGTTTAATGGATTTTTTTGCACTGAACATGGAAATAAGATTAAAAGAGGGGTTTACATAAATTTTTTAGCAAAGTTCATGATAAAAAGCTCCCAATTCTTGCTTCATTAAAAAACACTAATTTGTGCTAACAATACTTGGTGCATCTTAGCAAGCAGCGTTCGTTTTAAGCTGTGAAATTTCTTTCAGATCCACGCTTTAGAAAACCAAAGATGTTTGCTAAAATGAAGAAAATTAGATTAAATATTTTTTGTTTTGTCGGAAACTCTACTTTAGGAGAACTTTCATACTTGTTTCCGTAATACCTGAAAGAATAGATACAGTACCGAGCAAAAGTCTTGCAACATCACTTTTTCAAAAAAATTCGATGAAATTTTTTATAGAAAATGCCACCCGTTCGTAGGGTTTTTTTGTTTTTAATTAGAATAATACATGTACACTTTATTTACAAAAACAAATTGAAGTTCAGCGTAAAGCAAAAAAGTAAATGACAAAACTACTAAAAAATGCCCTAAAAACTGGGTGCAAAAGGTCCGCTCGTCCTCGTCCAGTCAACCATGAATGCTCGCCAGTATATGGAAATACTAGAAGGATGTCTACTTCCATTTGCTCAGGATCACATGGCTCCTGAATGGTTTCTCTACCAGGACAATTCGCCGGTCCACAAGAGCAAGCTCATGATGGGTCGCACGGTGAATCTCTCAAATGGAGGAAAAGCTCATCTCCCTGGATGGTTTGCCCTTAATAATGTTTTGTTGGTCAAGGTGCCCCCTATGTCGTCTGATTTAAACGTTATTGAGAATTTATGGGCTTACGTGAAGGCAAAGTTACGAGGAAAAGACTTTCACACAAAAGCTGACTTATGGTTCTACATACGAAAAGTTTGGAGCTCAATTCGCCCAGCAATTCTTCACGAATTAGTCGACTCAATGCCTAAACGATTAAATGAAGTGATTTTGGCAAAAGGTGGACCGGTTGAATATTAATTTTTGATGTTTCTGTATAATGTTGCAAGACTTTTGCACCCAGTTTTTAGGGCATTTTTTAGTAGTTTTGTCATTTACTTTTTTGCTTTACGCTGAACTTCAATTTGTTTTTGTAAATAAAGTGTACATGTATTATTCTAATTAAAAACAAAAAAACCCCGAACGGGTGGCATTTTCTATAAAAAAATTTCATCGATTTTTTTGAAAAAGTGATGTTGCAAGACTTTTGCTCGGTACTGTATCTATTCTTTCAGGTATTACGGAAACAAGTATGAAAGTTCTCCTAAAGTAGAGTTTCCGACAAAACAAAAAATATTTAATCTAATTTTCTTCATTTTAGCAAACATCTTTGGTTTTCTAAAGCGTGGATCTGAAAGAAATTTCACAGCTTAAAACGAACGCTGCTTGCTAAGATGCACCAAGTATTGTTAGCACAAATTAGTGTTTTTTAATGAAGCAAGAATTGGGAGCTTTTTATCATGAACTTTGCTAAAAAATTTATGTAAACCCCTCTTTTAATCTTATTTCCATGTTCAGTGCAAAAAATCCATTAAACTTTTATTTTTTAGACAATGAAGCTGGAAATCAAAGAGGAACCGCCTGAGCTGTAAATAA